AGCCTGTCTTGCTGTCTTTCCCATCCTGACTGGTTTTCACATCCTCATCTGTGCCTGTGTCACCACCTGTAGTTGAAACCATCCTGTCTAGATTACTAGGTAGGTGAAAGAGACGACTTCCTTCACGTTTCTTCCGTTGATTGTGATTGATGCTTGTTGTTGATGCTGTTGTTGATTGGGTATCTCCATCACCTGTGTCTTCTCTACGTTCACCAGAGGGGAGTCGCGTCTTCGCTACTCTGCCTCTTCTGACAACTTGTTAGATTCCACCTGAAGATTTTCGAGTTTGTGGGACATTAGGCATTAGACATAAATCATAACCATCATCATGCTCATCATCGTTGGCGAAATTCAAATTATCTTCTAGGTTCTTTTCATCTGTCAACCGGAGCGTGGATGCCCATCTTCTCTCTCCTAACGGTTTGCTGCATGATGCAGTCGACCACAGTGAGGAAGATTATGGTTGATAGTAGGTGGCAGCCTTGTCTTACTTCTGTCTTCACTTCACTTCAATAGCATCACTGAGCTTTCCATTGTGGATCACTTGGCATATGGTGTCGTCATATAGATGTTGAGAATTTGGAACATTATAACTAGATAATAGATGTAATCCAATTCACTTTTGAGTTAGATTGTATTGGAAATTCAAGTGGAGAGAAGATGGAAACTTAGATACCAAAGTTTATAGGAGACCAACATATTCGATTAGACACTTGCGTTTCACATCATCTCACCATCTACTACCTATATCCGTGAAAGTAAACTTGATAGAATGTCTTACCTAGTAAGTCAGAAAACACATTAAAGAAACGACTTCTTGATAAATACTCTACGGATCTTATTAGGAAGTATATGAGGACTGATAATGTGAATCGTGATTGTAACATGCCTGTGAGGGAGTTCAACTTCTTTGTAGTATCACTGTATGAAGACTTCACATCAGAAATTGTTCATAGAACTTCTAACAATAAGCAAATTAGAGTGGGATTTCGATCCACTATATCCCTCAAAGGGAAACTTTATAGACTGAAAGACCCTATCAAGCCAGTTAAGGAAAATAACCTAATGTATCAAATATCATGTGTAATGATTTTAGCTATTGCTGCTCTCCATTCACTGATCTATAATCAAACTTAAGAGGTAGGTGGAATAGGGGAGTGACAATTCGAAAGTCGAAAACAGGTAGGTAGGTAGGTAGGTAGGTAGGTAGGTAGGTAGGTAGGTAGGTAGGTAGGTAGGTAGGTAGGTAGGTAGGTAGGTAGGTAGGTAGGTAGGTAGGTAGGTAGGTAGGTAGGTAGGTAGGTAGGTAGGTAGGTAGGTAGGTAGGTAGGTAGGTAGGTAGGTAGGTAGGTAGGTAGGTAGGTAGGTAGGTAGGTAGGTAGGTAGGTAGGTAGGTAGGTAGGTAGGTAGGTAGGTAGGTAGGTAGGTAGGTAGGTAGGTAGGTAGGTAGGTAGGTAGGTAGGTAGGTAGGTAGGTAGGTAGGTAGGTAGGTAGGTAGGTGGAGGGAGACATTGATAACGGAATGTTTGTTCATTGAATCAACACACACACACACCAGCTACACATGTAACAGGAATGATGCATATCCAGATTTTACTACCAATCAAATAAACGAATGAATGAACTATTGGACTTTGTATAATGAAGGCTTGAATGTGGTATTTTAATGGATACTACTGATAAGAATGGATATAAGTAGTATATTTTGGGGAGTCGGGAGAAGTCATAGGTAATTACCAGCGACAGGTAAATATTCTGCCCAGAAAAACGCAAGAGACAATATGAGCGCAAGAAAATAAAATCGAGATAGGAGAAGGAGAGAAAATGAAAGACATTGTACAAGTGACTACTGTGGTGGAAATTGTACAGTATTTCATCAGTACTGTACAAAATGTCTCAGTAAAAATTTCATTCCTGAGTCTCATTCTTTGCCGTTTCTCACAATGGGTGTCACTGCCTCTGAATGTGATGAAGATTCTTTGGCCTACAGTATTTGGAAATGGAGATATAGAAGTCTTCCACATGGATTTCTAGTCGGTCACGAAGCTTGTTACTGTCCAGGATCCAGGAGCGAAGGTTGTGGTTGTCTGTAGAATATGATTGTTGATTACAGCAGTTTTGTTAGAATAGTTGTCAAGCCTTAAAGCAATGCTGGTGATATGGGGATGACACATTCACTATGATCAAATCAGAACATACCTAAGAGGGAATTCATCTTCTTTGCAGTATTGTTATGTAAAGACGTCACATCAGAAATTGTTCATAGAACTTCTAACAATAAGCAAGTTAGAGTAGCGTTTCTATCCACAATATCAATGACAGGGAAACTTTATAGGCTAAAAGATCCAATCGAACTAATTAGGGAAAATAATCAATTTGTAAATCTTCCCTGTGAACTGTTATTGGGTTGTGAGGTACCAATCAATCAGCTGTATTGAGTTTGCAACCTTAAGCTTTGTCGTATAGTCAGAACGAGTTTTATCGTTCTCCAGAAGGATACTCATCTTATACTTGACTAGAAGAAAGGATACCATCATTTCATCATATCTTTCAAAACGTGTACAGGCGTAGTTTCCAAAAAATTCATCACCATATTCTGAGTTGGTACCGAATAGCGTTTCATGAGATGTCACTGGATGAGTATACTACACTGGAGTCTATTCCTTCATCTTATACTACTGAGACATGGCTGTTTAAAGCAGATAACATGAAGCGGTCACAGGTTTTTCTTCAAAGATATCTTCGTAGTATTGTTCGAGGTTGGATTGAATCACTGAGTGAAAGGTGTTACGTAAGATAGGCAACTAGATTGATGAGGTTGTCAATGCGCATGCGAAGCCACCAGTATTCACCTCGACATGGCATATTAGAAGAAGTTGGATTACGTTGGAAGAGGGTTCACAGCAGCCAGACTATGGCCTGAAATCACCAGATGAAGTCTGTGATCATTGTTCTGAGTTCTTTGAAGGAGATATAGACTGTCTGGTTGGGGTCTCATGAACAAAAGGAGTCAGTGGTTGAGGACATGTTTGAAAATCGGTAATAAACAATTAGAAGATAAAGGTTACTTCGAATATTCAAGCTTTAGACGAGGTCAAGGAGTGAATATGTCTGCCCCAGTGTGATCCATTTACAGTCATATCATCAAGAGTCCTCAACCAGTGATTTCCGCCGTCTCAGGGACCCCAGGCAAGTAGTCGACACGGTTTTTTACACTTTATCAGACGAACAGTGAACGACTTCATAGAAAGTAAGACTAGATATGTAGGATCAAAATTACATATCCCATTCAGGATAAATAGTAATTTGTGTGTGATTCCAAAGTTTCCAGAAAAGGTGGAGTTATGGCATGGTGGGGCCCTGGTTCGAACCCCACCCGACCTACCGAGGTTTGGGTAGCTGACTGCCATCACTATTCCTCATACAACAGCTCACTGACTGTTGCGTGGATGTGCACAAGGTAGTTGGGTGCATCTACCCCTCCCCCTCTCCCCTTTAGAAAACCACAATGTACTTGGTGATTCTCTTTGACTTGCCATTCTGAAGGTCTTAGACATATCCAATTTGTATTGTTTAAATGGAAGCATTTGATGGGAAGCCTTGCTCCTGTCCACCCCGCACCCCACTCCAGATTTAGCGCTTATTGGCACTCGTCAGCAAGGCGCATCTGCAATCTCGAGAGAAATAGTTTTCCACCTGAGATGCAAACCCGCGTCAGTAATGTCACCAATGACCTATTTCTGTTCGCGATTCACTTAGTATAGGGCTGGGTAAGGTGGATTGATTGGTAGCTGAAGAATGACCAACTTCATGTTGTCTACTCCTAAGTGCTAATCGAATTCTATCGAACCCTTTACAATACTGTTACTAAGCGTGGAACGTCGGTACAGCAAACATATGTCCTATTGCATAGCAATAGTAAGTTGCTTAGCTTGGTGGCCGCATTGAAAACTTGTCGATGGATCCGGAGAGAACTTAGGACCAGACAACATGAAGTTAGGTACCGCCCTCCCTCATCCCCAGTGACCAATCAATCTATATCCAAATAGCATCCGTTTTAATTAGGTTCCCTTTCAAATACTTATTGCTTGCCTATAAAAGTACCTACAAGCCTTTCTTTTAGTCCTTCATTTGTGCTTCCTTTGATACGTACACATGTGCTTTGGCAATTCCAGCTGGATGTGACATGAGTAGGGTATTTATCTACTGTCGATTGGCTTAGTGACCTACGAGAGGGTTTGGGGGCTTTTACAGTAGACCTTTTATCCATCTGCCTATTCATTTTGATACCTCATCTCCTTTGAATGTGAGACTACTTCAAATGGGTCGCTTTTCGATGGTTGGAGGTTTAGATTTTTCAGTATAATCCTCTTAATACATTTCAGAAAAAAGTACCTTGGGTATAAATTCATCTCTCACATGATAATCTTACTTCATTGAAGTCCTTGCAATCAAACATTTCATACTAATCTTTCCAGTCAAAGAAAGACTAATGTCAGTCTCCGTTTATCCTCACAGCTGAAAGTAATTTTGATTTTAGTGATTAGCAGAGGAATACACGCGCACATTTCTTCCGACTTTGGACTCGTCAGCTGGATGTATCTTCACCCTAGCGAGTGACTTTGTTCCCACCCAAGTCCAGACTCTTAATACGTTTCACTTCAAAAGCCAGAGCGTTATCTGCTTAGCCATAGGGGAATGTTAATCACCTCTTGTTTATTCTTAAAAAATCTTGAATTATAGACCCAAGCACGGAAGAAGTGTCATTGCTTTTGATGAAGATGTATAATTCCTGAAGCAAAATCATGTCGTTTTTTCCACTAATCTATTGGTTCTGTCTTTTTTCAATAATTACTGTACTTTCATCCAGGAGATAAAATGCGTTTATACAACTAAAGACAAATTTTCACGTAATTGCATTTTACTACTACTTTTTTTTATAGTAGCATAAATATATTTAATAAATTCTGAAAATTGTGCGCATTTCGCATGAGACTTACTCTCCCGATTATCATCTTTTGGAATGATTCGGTTCACTGCTCCAGTTTTAGGGACTATCGCTAGTGGATATTCGGTGGATTTTACTTCTAGCGATAGTTTTTTACGCTTTCGTGTTGAATATTGTTTAATCCTATTATTCTTGCTAGTATTTCTTTGGTTTTGCTGATTTCTGTTGAGAAAAACGAAAAAAAAATCTTAGTTAAACTTGGCTTTGGAGGGGAATGTTTCTTTTTGTTTGAGTCATATCAAGTTGAGAAGTTATGTACAGTGTTAAAATGGAAATTGACACATAAACGTCAAACGGAGTTATAAAACCCTCAAGTAGGCACATTCTCCGATAGCTACAAATTTCTAGCCGTCGGTATGGCCCTACTAATTGACCACCCTTGATATATAGACTCCTAAGCAGACCCCTTGACGTTACAAGTAGTCTCAGTTAGTAGTATGGATGGATAGCGACTAGCAGTGGGGTCGATAATACGCGTCGGAATCTTGGGGGAAATAACAACAACAGCTGACGACTCCCAAACCGGGCGAAACATACGTCCAGCATTCCAATGATACCCAGTATCTATCATCATTTTCTCGAAGTTACTGAATCCTAGCAATGGGTGAAAGTAGATTAAGCGTCAGACGCATCTTTTGGTAGGGTTTCTCATCTTATCGGCTACCTCATCCCACGGTTCTTAAAATCTTACTGCTATATCGTTCCTAAATTCACGGTTCCAACATATACGGACTATGCTTTCCAAGTCCCTTACCATGCTTCGCGACAGTAGGATAAATCAAACCGATTTATAATGTTATCTACTCTTCAAGATAGGCAGACGAAATCAACGTAGAACTTCACAGATATAAAGGTGTATCAGTTCAAGTTATTACACTTTACAGGTAAACACTTCAAACACAATATATGATATTTATCAAGATTTCATTAGCAATCTTCTAACCAATTCTGTTGAAAGTTCAACGCCCTTGAAGTTTTCAACAATCAGGGCATTAGTCCCTTTTCTACCATCACTGAATGTTGAACACATCACGCAACACTGTACAATGAATCTAATCCTTGAAATTTGACTACCTTAAACTATCCTTGTAAATACATTTTAAGCGAATTGTTTGAATTCAACTGGCAAAGTTCATCAATCAAGTCACAGTTATGAATTTTATTAGGAAATAAGTTTGTAAAGGATTTTAAAAGCTCACTGTCCTTGAGAATCTACTGAATGACGTTGAAAGTCCCAATGAGGAAACAGTTTCCTTCTTTATACTTTTTCAGACAGAAATGAAAGAAGTCTACAGTAATTTATGGATTCTGAACAATCTGTAATAAAACTTACAAGTTTCACTGTCCACATTGATATCCCTAACAGCTAAGCAGTTTTTCAACTGCTTTCTATGATGCCAACGTAGTTTACAGTACAATCTGAGTGGTTTCTATCTAAGTTGTTTCGAAGTAGCATATTTCGCTAGTCCACGACTCTTTTGTATCAAAGATCACATCATGGTATCTTGGCTAAGTGATTTCACATGGGGACCATGTTGACTAGCACCACAGTTAAAAACCTATCCGGCTGTGTAATAAATATCACTGATTATCCTATTTAAGGCATAGGCTTCCATCCAGGTTAGTTAGCTAGACTCAGGTGATATGAACAACTTGTCTCTGTGATCTGAATTTGTTCGAATGTAGTAGTAGCAGTACTACGCAAAAAAAAGATGGACAGAAAAAAAGATCCATGTCAAAATAAATAAAAGTGCATGGGTTTTGGGTTTAGAACACATCAAAGAATGAATACATTTGCGCTATTTTCACCGATTGATGTTTAGACATTTCACCAAGAGCCCTCAGCCACACACTCTCCAGGAGCCCAGTTAGGTGGTCTACATCATCTTAAAAGTCTTATATCAACATTCAGGGAATTCATAGACTAGTTCCACGTTTTGTTCTCGCCATGCTGAACCCTTCACCAACCTAACCCAACTTCCCCTAGTATGTCCAAGCCAGCCACCTCAATCCTTGAAGGGTGACAACCTCATCAACCGACTTAATAGCTTATCTTACCGAGTACCCTTCGCCGTTTACTCGTCCTGTGACAGGTAGTCGAATATTTTGCCAGCACCAAATATGACGCATGTTGGAAAATGTCAATCCAGCTTTCTGCCTAACACGTTCACCAGACCCTGTATTTTCTAGCGTCTTCACGTAACTGGATAATTTCGTCTGCATACTCAAGTCGACCAGATGACCTCCATAGAGTAGATGAATCCCTGTCAAATCAGGCGTACCTAAGGCTATGTCAGTTAGTACGTCTATGTCGAAGTTAAATAGGAACGGCAACAGCGGACATCTCTGGTGGACATTACCAGATGTCGCCATTTAATATGACAACTCTACCATCCGCCCTGACACCCCCGCTTGTACATATATTCAGTCTTGACTATCGAAGATCTTGAATTCTTTGCAGATCTTTATTCATTTTTATTCTCTTCTCCCATAACTCGCTAAATAATTCCACTATTATTTTTGCTTTTTTTTATTGTTTTTTCCAAACCACAGTGAGCACTACTTATAAGGCTATGTCAGTAGTGTAAAATATGTCTGAAAATGTTTCGAATCATAACAGAGTGATATTGGTTAATGGATTCTACAAAGTTGGACTGTTTCTTTGAATAACAAATCAGGATTATCCACATACTTACGCAATACAAAATTTCAACTACTCAGCCATAGCTTACTACACCAGTTTCAACTTCTCCTTCAGTTGATGGCACCACCAATAGCATCTCAGTGAATTTCATCACCATCATCATGACAATGAAACTTTCCACTGTTGGTCAAGGCATTATGAAGACCAATTCAAAGTCAATTTCGCTGGCCAAGATGATTCCTCGAAGGTCTGTCTCCTATTTCAAAAGCTTCGTCTATCTGAGCTCAACAAATACCTCAACATCATTTCCCCGCAGAACCCATATGATTGCAGTTTCTATGCCACAGTCCAGACAATGAACGACATCTCTGTAGAATATCAACGACTAGTCGACCTGCAGTGTGATACGAGTTTAGCCCAACCCAGAGGCCAGACTGGTTCTCAAGTGTATACAGCCAGTCAGGCATCTCATGCCTCCAAATCACCCTCTGGCCTTATTTCACCTGTTCATTGGACCAGTAACTCATGAGATACCAACCGATCATCGAAGAAGACATCCACATTGCCTTACTGGTATTGTGGTGTCTGGCATTTCGTAAGATGTTCTCCACATAAATAGCATTGGTGCCGAGGCTGTGACACTGGGGGGCTATAAGGACGGTTTTAGTTGCCAACACACACACACACACACACACACACACACACACACACACACACACACACACAACACACTCACAACGACGTCTATACAGGTCATCCTCCAGATATCGTTGCAGATCTCATTCTCGATCGGTAGGTAAATCCCTTGACTTGATAGCTGTTTTTCATGCTCGTGTACCTGTTCGCCGAGAGAATATCGAGAAGACTACTGATCCTCCAGTAAACAAGGTGAAACTCCCTCTCTCTTGGCTGCTCAATCTGACCTCAAATAACATTCATTCAAATCATTACAATGGGGGATACGCTTTACCCGGCAAACGACGCTAGAAGATTTGGATTTTGCCGGTGACTTGTGTCTAATGTCACGCAAACATAAAGATCTACAGGCGAAAACTAACAAGTTGACTGGAGAAGCAGCGAAGACAGGACTTCGTTCAGGTGAATGTAGAGAAGACACAGGTAATAAAGATACCCAACCAACAACAACAGCAACAACATCTCCAATCACCATCAACGGGAGAAAATTAAAGCAAGTAGCCTCTTTCACCTACCTACCTACACAGCATCGTTTCAACTACAGGTGGCGGCACAGGCACAGACGAGGACATCAAAGCCAGTCAGGATCGTAAAGACAGCAAGACAGGCGTTCATTAACCTGAAACAGTGTGTAGATCTACTGCACTCTGCATAAAGTGTGAACAAGATACTGATTTTCAACAACAACAACATCAAGTCAGTGCTTCTGTATGACTCACAGACTTGGCGCGTTACGAAAGACATTTCCAACAAACTTCAGACATTCATCAACAGCTGCTGCCTATGCTGGTTAATGAAGCTCAGATGGCGAGGAAGAATAAGCAAAGAGGAACTGTGTCTGGCCTGTTAACAAACCAACCAAGAACCTATCGCTCAACAAATGTGCAGAAGGAAGCGTAGATGGATTGGGCATACACTGAGAGGGCCAACTGGAAACATCACGCGTCAGGCCAGGCTGTCAAGCAGAATCTAAATGGGAAACGACTAGCTAAGCGTCCCAGCTCAGGTTGACATGGAAGAGATCGTGCAAAGAAGAAATGAGAGCTTCTGGGTTGTCGTGGAACCAGGTTGAATAGATTGCAGAGAACTGGAGAGTGGAATGGTGACGTGCTACCGAAGCCTATGTCCTGTTAGGAATCCAAGGGACAAATAATAATAATAATAATAAATCACTACGATTAATTAATTAACAAACTTACTTATTCAATGTATTTTGATGTTCAATATATTGTAAGATAAATGGTTTTTGTTCATATACATTAGATTCTTCAACTTGATCAGTATAAACATTAGAGTTGATAGAATCAAGTTTTAAATTGATTTGATAATTAAGTTTCTTCAAATTTTCTTGTATTTTATGTGTAAGAACTAATGATTTAAAAAATTTTTCATATGGTTTTTTGTTTGAATTAAGTATTTCACTTTGATTTTCATTCATTGATCACTGAACAAAGATCAGATAAAATGGTAAATTGGTAGTGATAATATAAAAAGGAAATAATATATAATGATTGGATAATCTACTCACCTCAAATCAATCTAACTTTGTTATGTTAACGAATGATTTAACCGTATCCATATTGATCATCTCTCCTCTTGTGATTATTGTCAGTTGAATAACTTCACAACTGAAATTGGTTATTGGTCCTCTTTTCAACAGCATCATATTCAGCTAGTTAATTTTTAGGTTAAGATATGAACAAGATCTTTGTACATTATCTGACTCCTGTGACTGTTGTAGCGAAGCTAGAAAGCATATTGTACATACTACTCATCACGTCTATCAGTAGGTACCAGACACAAACACTACATTGCAGTGCCTCCACCTTGTTCGCATCACATCATGGCAATAATACTCTACTTGATATTAACAAACAAACGCGCGCAAACACTGCACACGTCACAATGGAGGAAAGAGGAGATATGACATGAATAAACTAGTCGAGTGAAGAATGACACAAGTTTCACCTACATCACAACCTCATCCCCGGTGAATAAATAAGCCAATGCGTTGCGAACAGCTTCAGTTCTATAACTCTTGTCTTATTGATGGAATAATCCATCTTGCTTATGCTTTTCTTCTGATCTTTTTTAGTCCCCTCATATCTCAACCCTCAAGTAAGTAAAGTCAAACTGTCTTCAATCATTCACCTCTACTCTTATGTTTTAATAATTTCTGAGTTTTGCCTGTAACTTATTTATTGTTCCGTTTTATTTTCCTGAAGTCTGGAAACTCTAATTACAGTTTGAAGCGTGGCTTTCAGAAATCAAAGATGTTCTTCCGTGAAGTCGAATTATGCTCTTCACCATACAGAACTCATATCTACTAAATGTTAGACGTCAAAAGCCGAATGGTATAAAACGCCAATCAGTGGCGACTAGTAATTTCATGAGATCTCATTCCATAAAGGTTTGAACTCTAGTAACGTCTAAGCTGCATAGATCACTATTACCTAGCCGGGTAAAGGACTTCGTCTAAATTATCTTAGCGATCATGTCCCAAACTTGATAGGGAGATCAAGGTTACCCCTTAGGAGTTGACAAGTTACCATCCAGTCACTGGATTCAAGCACATATGCACACCAATATGTTCAAAGTGAGTTATTCTCTAGTTTCAGGTTTCGGTTGGTAAACGTTTCAATGTCACGCTACACAATATTATCAGTGCATTACAGCTTCAAAAGGAAATGAAGTAATCGGTCGTGCATAGATCTTTACAATGTGACACTTTGCTGGAATTTAGCCTGAATGATCGTTTGATTAGTTTATGGGGATATTTTGATGTTGACTGTTTAGCATTTTGCCTCCCACTTTGTCATAGAAGCGTGTAACTATGTGTTAACTTGACATCTACTTACGGAGGTTACTGAGTTGTGATTGGTTTGCATTTTTTGTTTAAATGAACTGGGGAAAGTTGTTTCAATTTGACTGGTTTCCGATTTAGTTTGACTGAAGTGATAAAGGTTGTTGGTCAGTATAAAGTTATCTCAACTGAACAAGTGATTGTGGTAATCATAGTGTACTGAGATGAAATATTTTCATATCATGATGTTGTACAGTTAGTTTGTTTCTATGACGACATTATACTACTGATCTGTCTGGTTGTTTCATGTAGCGGTGTCTCAGATTATCGCAAATGACTTTGTAGATCATGTTGATCTCACTTCTTAATTGAATGGATCTTTCAGTTCGCATTAGTATAAATGATTTGTATGATACTACAATTCTAGGGGGGGGGGGGGGGAACTTATCTCACTTTCGATGATGAGATATATTTTTTAATATATCGAAAGATAATTATTCAATTAACTTTATTATTTTTTATCCATTGGGTACCTAGTGGAATATAAGGCTTCAGTAACACGTCATCATTTCACTCTCTTCTCTTTTTACGCAAATATATCACATTGTTCAGATAAACTTCGTCTTTAATTAGTGTTCGAAATCCGCATCTTTTACACGCTTTTTCTGAGCGCAGTGCAGTAGATCTCCATATTGATTATTTCAGATTAATGAAGGTCTATCTTGCTGTCTTATCGATTCTGTCTTCGGCATCTTTATGTGTGCCTGTGTCACCTGTAGTTGAAGCGCTGCTGTCTAGGTAGGTAGGTGAAAGAGACAACTTCCTTTAGATTTCTCCCTATCATGGTGATTGGCGCTTGTTGCTGATGTTGTTGGCTGGGTATCTTCATCACCTTTGTCTTCTCTACGTTCACCTGAAGGAGGTCCTGTCTTCGCCAACCTGCCTTGGCTCTTCTACCAACTTGTTAGTTTTCGCCTGTAGATCTTCGAGTGTGTGAGACATATGGCTTTAGACATAAATCATCATCAACGGCGAAATTCAAATCTTCTAGGGTCTTTTCATAAGTCAAACAGCGAGCGTATGCTCATCTTCTCACTCCTCACCATTATTTATTGCATGATGCAGTCCGGTCCACTCGACCACAATCAGAAAGATCATCGGTGATAGTAGGCGGTGACTTTGTCCTACTCCTGTCTTCACTTCAAAAGCATAGCTGAGCTTTCCATTGTGAATCACCTGGCATGTGGCATAATATAGCATATGGCTGCAGTTGAATGAGGTTGATAAAGGTTTGTGGCACTAAAACCGTAGTGCTTAGGCAGCTACTTGCCAAACTACTTCTTGGTCGACGCTGTCGAATGCCTTTTCAAAGTCAATGAAGTTGAGGTAGAGTTGAATTGACTGCCGTTCTATGCTCTCTTCTATGATGATGCGTAGAGTTGCAATTTGATGCGCACATGATTTGTTTTTCCTGAGACCATTCTGTTCCGGTCGCAATTTTGAATCCAGAGGAAGTATAACACGGTAAGTAATACTGGGACTCTACATTTTCAGGAATTTACTTTGCGTACTCAGACAATGTCGTCCTGTTTTAGCGAAGACGTAGACAAACTATAGCTTAATGAAGCTTCTGAACAAAAACCTGAGTATATTTGTCATACATTTACCATTTTCTGAAATGTGAGATGGTGCTTTGGGACTAGCGTGCACTAACTCTTACCTCGAAAATATTGAGAGAAGAGGTAAAATGCGTTGACGATTACTGATGAAATTGCAACTGGAATTTCAAAACACCGGTTTCGGTATATACCAAATTACCTTACCGTTGACACTGGTGAGAAATTCGACTATCTACTGAAAGATTAGTATGCTGTACAACAGTCCTTTTTGTACTATTATAGGGTTGTGAGACACGGCCATTCGGAGTAGATAACATAAGGAGGTTAAGAACTTTTAATCGTAGATATTTTCATGGCATTACTTGCATATAGTGAAATTAATGTATGAGCAACTTTGAAGTTAGGCATAAATTGTTACCGAAGAATGAAGCTGTGAACATACATTGCCTGACTTGGCTTAGATATGCTCTGCGGTTGCCAAGCCACTACCTACCTATACCTGTATTGTTCTCTGATGTATGATTAGAATGAAAGAAAGCTAAGCGTGACGAGACCATTCGTGAAAGCGATATATTAGTTCAACATATAGTCGAGTTATCGATGCAGTGAGGTTTGGCACATCTGATTGGAGTCATAGACATCACAACTGACTGACTGACAAAATCAAAGTAGAATCTTGCACACAGGTGAATCAGTTCATGTTACGGCACTTCATGGTAGTATACAAAGACCAGGTTGATGGAAAGGGTGCGATAGGAAAACGGACAAAGCCAGTGCACAATGAACAGTCTGAAGATGACCGTAAGTGCGAATATTCAAGCTTCAAAAGATGGTAAGGAGTGGATACATCTTCGCCATTTTGATCGACTGATGGTCAGCTATGTCACCAAGAGTTAGTCTTAAAATACTGATTCTTACAGTCTCCAGGACCCCATCCACGTAGTCTACATCTCCTCATATGTCACACATCAACAGTTAGGAACTTCGTCGACTGGCGCCAAATCTTGATCTGGCCACCAGGAACCACCTTACAACCTCATCCAACTTCTCCCAGTATGCCACATCAAGATGAATGGTGGTGATTCAGCATGTTCAATTTTATGCAGTCCATCTCAGTCAGCTAAAGTTCACAACCTCATCAATCGACCTGTCGCTTTTGTCTAGTATCTTTTTCCCTACCTCAACACTACTCGCTCAGTGATTCTACCATACGCGAGCAATGCTAAGATATCTGTGATCAAAAATCTGAAACCGCTCCATGTTTTCTAACTTTAACGATTATTTTTCAGAGGTGTATAACAAGACAGAACAGACTGTAGTTCAGTATACTCATCCTTTGATAGGTAGTCGAATATCTCTCCAGTCGGTGCCATAGGTGACACAAGTTGGTGAATGCCAAAAATGGCGCAAATTTATAAATTCTTTGTCACCTAGAAATTTCCGATATTGTCACTAACGTTCATTCAGTTCAACTGTGTCTTCTCATTTATGTTTTTCTACTTTATTATTGTTTCTCCACCCTAGTTTTTGTACTCACCTATAAAGTGTGAGGTTTGATATACTCAAATGACAGGTTCCATCTTTGTTATTAAACATTGTAGAGTTTTCAACATGAAGCTTTAACAATTTTATCAGCGTACTAAGAATGTCATCGCAAGAAACTGTTCAGGTTGCCAATGCGTATAAGTTTAATGATGGGTTGCCTTTTGAAGACAACGTGATGATCATACTTTCAACCGCAGACCTCCCACTTGTGTCACACCTTCCCTTTGACCTATAAGGAATATTCGGTCTTCAATTTAGATCAATAAGCCCACCATTTAGCGTTTGTTACTAATAGAAGGATGTTAACTGAGACTGCCTCTTTGACAGTATTCTTGAAGTGATATAAAAAACATCCACTTCTCAGGCTAAGATGCCTTCAAGAAGTGTGGTCTCATCATTGCATAGTTTGCTTTTTCGTAGCAGAGGAGGAGGTTACAATTATTCTTCTGTAACTGTTTAGCAAGACCTGGGTTGTTCATTTTCATCGCATGATCGCTGATGAAAAGAGAATTTTAGACCTATCCATTCTTTGCTTGTAGATGACCGTTACTAAGAAAGTAATTCAACTTTGATGACTGTTTATGTGGGCTCCGGTGTATAACACTTCTGACGCTTCCACATAGACAAGGTTACC